GGCACCCAGAAGGGAGCTCGCTCCAGGATCTTGGTCTCCAGCAGAAAAGGGCAGTGTAAGGGTCTGAGGGCCAGGGGGTCACTCTTGGGCTGCCCACCACCACTGTGCTCAGGAACGAGGGGGCCATAGCGAAGTGGGCACACTGGCCCGCAGAAGGCCAGCGGGCGGGCCAGCATCGGCTCCTTCCAGTGCAGTCCGTCCTTGCTGTCCAGCCAGCTGGCCTTCCTCTCCCCATTCTGGGGGCCCTCACCCTCCACCAGTGGGAGTGGGTCCTTGGGGCCCTGGGGGAAACCAGGAGGAAGCCAGGAGTCTGGGGTGCTCAGGATGCCCCTCCAGAAGGGACCAGCCTCTCCCAGGCACGGTGACCGGTGATGCAGGCCCTCCCTTGGTGGAGTGCCGGGTTCCTGTCCCATGATGCCATTCTCAAGGGCCGTCTTCTCCCAGGCTGGAGTGTCCTTCAGGAAGCTGGGCATACTTGCCATCCCTCTCCTGCCCTCATGGGGCTCTCCCAGGGGGAACCCTGAAACATTACCACCAAAGCGTGAGCTCCTTGGGCACATGCTCCAAGCACCTTACTGTTGGCATGGAATGGACACCACCACAGCAGCACCGAAGTGGTTCAGACCAGTTCAAGCTGGTCCACAGCAGGGTACCAAGCAGACTACCATATGTGGCCAGAGGGACTCTGCCTGGGATCCCTTAAATTCTGACCCCTACCTGAATTTGGGGTTCTGAATTCAGCAAAGGCTGTCATTTCTAGGGTGACACATTCTGGCCTCATAGAGCCTGGAACATGGTCCCCAGCAGGGGAGGAGCACAGGGAGCGAGAACACCAAAGCTTAGCTCAGTGGAAGGTGGGAGGCCCTGACTCAGCCCCTTGCTGGGTGACTTTGGGCAAGTCCCATCTCTCACACACACACACACACACACACACACACACACACACACACACACACACACACCAGCCTCAGTGAGCCCTGGTGTGATGGGGCGTGGGTCTCAGAGGACAAACTAGTCTGTGTTGGGGATGCTGCTGCCGGCCCTAGCCCCCAGCCCTAGCCTGGCTTGCCGGGCTGGGAGTGCAGACCAGGCAGGCCAGAGTCACCGCCTCCCTCACCGTCACCAGGAGGGCAGGCAGCCAGGGCAGCTGGCTGCTGTGTCTCCCCACACCTGGGCGGCAGGCTCTAGTTTCTTGGCTTCTCTAGCAGAGCCCGGGAATACCGCTGGGAGCTAGGGTCTTGGTGTCTCCCAAGAGGAGAGGTGGGCCCAGCACACAAGAGAGCTTTAACTGGGCTGGGATGGGTGAGCAGCCCTAGCCTAGCCCCAGTGCTAGGGCGCGAGGCAAACTGCAGCCTGGAGGGGGTGGGGGTGGGGGGGGTGGAGAAGGAGGCGGGGAAAGCGGGCTGGGCCCCAGGCAGAGGCAAGGGAGGGAAAATTGAATGTGAATCCTGCGAGGGACCGAGCTGACAGGGGGCACCAGAGCGGCAGCGCGCTCTAGGCGCGGTCCCCTCGGCCACCCGACGAAGCCCTAGGAGGTAGACTAGGAGGGCGATGCGGGGGCCATGGCAGGGCGCATCCAGGTTTTCCGGAGCTGCCGCGCTCACGCGCTCTGGCGCCTGTTAGGGACACCCCAACTTCAGGATGAGCGGTCCGGCTCAGGGAGGCGGGGGGGGACTCACACTCCCTCCAAAATCGCCCCCTCCTAGTGCCCCCGGGGTCCCCTCTAGGCGATTACCTGGGCTTCACGGGCCGGGCGCGGCGTGGGCGGCGGCAGTCGTGCTGGCGGCGCCGGGCACCCGCTCCCCATGGGCCGGCTCAGGGCTTCCCGGCCGGCGGGCGGGCGAGGACGCGTGGTCGCGTTCTCCGCTCAGGGCGCTCGCGCTCTCTCTTCCCCCGGGCGGCGGGGGCGCTCTAGGATCGCAGGTTGGAGGGGTCGGACTCCGGGATCTGCAGGATGCGGCACACGGCGCGGATCGGCCGCACCAGCTTCTGGGCCGAGGCCGTGGGTTGCGCCATGGGACGCCGAGACTCCGTGCTGCGCCTTGGGGAGGGCCGGACCGGGGCTGGGGAGCGGGTGCCCCCGAGGGAAAGAGGGAGCCGGGCCGGGGGGAACGCGCGCCCCGGGTCGGAGAAGGCTGGGTCGGGGGGGAGGCCGAGGGGCCGGGGGAGGGGGTCGAGCCTGGAAGTGGGGCCGATCCCCTGAGCCGAGAGAGAGGCAGCGGCTAGGGCGCAGCACCGCGCTACGCGGCTAATGGAGGGAGAGCGCGGCGGAGAGCGCAGCAGGACCTCCGATCGCCATCGCCAGACGCGCAACTGAGAGCGGGGAAGCTGCTCCTCCGGTTTCCTCCTCCAGCACCCTGCGGGAAACAGGAGCCCGTGATTCGGCGGCCCCGCCTGGGCCTGCCCCTCCTGAGCCCCGGGGGCTTCCGCCAACGCCCCGGCGATGCCACCGGCTGCGCAAGGGGAGAATGAGCCCTTTGTTCCCCCCTCCCCCCCGCGGCTCCCGGGCGCCTGCCGAGAGAGGCTCCCCCGGGGCAGCGTGCCAGCTTCCCAGCCGCCCCACCCTCCCGTGGGCCTGGCCCCGGAGCCCGGCAGGCGGCGGCACCCCCACTATAGGTGCCAAGCCCGGGAACTGGAGCAAAGGGCGGGAGGGGCTGGACCAGGCCACCGTGGGGCTGGTGCCCCCCGGGGTGCTAGGGCGGGGAGGCTGGGAGGGGACAATGCTGGAGCTGGCAGGGGCAGTCACCGGGTTCTCACGGGTCAGTGATGGGCACTGGGACCCTCGCCGGCCCAGCCTTCGCCTGCGGGACCCCTCTCCCCTGGTCCTCTCCAGCCCGGCTGGCTGCAGTGTGCCCTCCTCATCCTCAGCGGGCCAAGCTGTTGTTCAAGGCCCCCACCCAAGCCCCCTCCCCGGCTCGGTCCCAATGGCACTAAGTGCTGTGCTTAGGGGCCTGGGAGGGGCTGCCTCAGATCTGTCCGGGCTTTGGGCCTGGGTTTCACCAAGTGTCCAGCGTTGATGGGATGAGAGGAGCTCCACCCTGAGCTCCAGCCCGGGGCTCTGAGGGTCTCCCCATCCTCAGGGTGCCCCCCCCCCCCCGCTCCCTGGCTGTGTGCTGGAGAGGAGCCCAGAGGAGTGGCCCCTGGGGGGGGGAGTGGAGAGTAGGAGAGGAAATGGGCAGACAGGGCACCCTCCACCAGAGGAAGCACCCTGGCTCCTTTGCGGGGGTGGCTCCAGAGCACAGACACAAACAGACAGATTCAAACACACACAGACAGATTCAGACACACACACAGAAACCCACACGCCCAAGGGGCACTTCCCATCCCCGCAGGCACCCATCTCCTGCCCCTCCACTCTCCTGCCTCCCTGCCCCACTTCCCCATCCCACGGATGAGTTCTGGAGGTCTCCAGCCCACTCCCAAGTCACACAGCCATCCCTAGGGAGGGGGGACTGGGGAACCAGTCTGGAGTCTTCCTCCCACCCAAGAGACGGAAGTGAAGGCAGGCAGCCTCTCACCCATAGCAGCAAAGAGGAGGGGTCCTCTTGAACCCTAGGGAGAGGGGTCAACCGGGCTGGCATCAGGCACAACTTGAGCCACGTTGACAGAGACCTCCCCAGGCTCTGGCCTCCCCCAAAGGCCAGTTCTGTGGCAGGACAGGCTGGCAAGGGTTGTTTACATGGCTGTTATTCACAATCCCTTCCTTCCCCAGCTCCCCTGGGGGTGGCTGGACCTGAGTGAGGCAGGGGAGAGAACTTGGGAGGGTCCAGCAGGGCCTGGAGTCCCTAGGCTCTGAAACTGGCTTCAGGCAAGATGGTGGTCCCTGGTCCTGGCCTCTGGCTTGCCTGCTCAGCAGTCCAGCCGGGGGAGAGTCCAGGGCAGAGTCCTGTGGCTTAGGGCCTGGGAGAGGCCAGCATGGGAACCTGGACTGTCCAGTGCCCGAGGGCTGTTGCTGTCATCCCCAGGGAGATGGGGACTGGTCCTGGGGGAATGGAACAGGACCTCCCTTCCGCGTACCCCGAGTTGCCATGTCAGCCTTGTTAAGTCACAGTCCGGGACCTGGACCAGGGCTCTCAGGATGGGCTCCTGGAGTGTCCAGGGGCTGCTGGGAGCTGGCTCAGGGGGGAGAGGACCACTTCTCTACCCCATCCTGGCTCCCATCCTGCCTCAGCCCATGCCACAGGCCAGAGCCCTTGTTGCTGACTGTTCTGCGCCTGACGATTGAGCAGAGCTGAGGACACACAAAAGACACAAACACAAAAGGAAAGCCACCCAGCGCATGGACACAAAGCCAGACCCAGGGACCAAGGCAAGCTTGCAGGCACCCCCAGACACGCGTGGGCTCAGCCCCAGCCATGCCGACCCCTTGTGCACTCACACGCGCGCGCGCACACACACACACACACACACACACGAACTGACACACACTTGTGCTGACAGGCACAGCCTGACAGCAGCTGCCCTCTCCCGGCTCCAGAGCCCCTTACCTGGGCAAGCACAGTGCCCCTCGGTGGAGCAGCCCCCTCCCCAGGGTGGGCAGCAGGAAGGGCGGGGGAAGGAGCCCCAGAGAGTCAGGCCAAGCTGCCACTAATCCGGGCGGGGAGAGGGGGGGCACCCACGTCAGAGCGGGGACTGCCGGGTGGAGGGCATCTGAGGACATCCCCTCCCACACACGCGGCCGTCTGGGCACCTAGCCCTGCTTCCCAGCCCCTCCATCCTCCAGACAGCTGAGGCTGGCCTCCCCCCACCCCACCCCCACCCTGTGGCAGCGCCTGGGGTGGGGGGCACGGGGGAGGAGGAATACCAGGAGAATTCTCCCAGGACCTGAGGGGAGGGGAAGGGGAAGGGAAGTGTGGAGATGCTTCTGGGGCCAGGAGGAAGCTATGAGGCAGATGCCACCCTCCCCTCTCGCCCACCCACCCACCCACTTCCTTGACCTAATTCCTCTTCTGGAGTCCTCCCTCCCCCCCAACCTCCCCTCCCTGCAGTCTAACCTCCATCTGCCCCAGGCTCAGGACTCCATGCCCAGCAGGGCCGGCTCTGGCCCCCAGGACTCCCCCAGCAGCAGGCAGCATCCTCTGGCCTTGGGGTTGCCTTCTTACCCCCCAGCTATCGGGACTCCTATTTTCTGATGCTGAGTGGGGCCCAGGGGCAAGGCCCTGAGTTACTTGCTCCCTCAGTCCCCTCAAGCTGAGGGCTGGAGGGCACCCACCAGGCCTCCCCAGCTCAGCCTGGGCCAGGGCACTGTTGAATCGTGTTGCTGCTAAGTGCAACAGCTAAAAATACAGCCACAGGCCAGTGTGTGCAGTGCCATGGATGCCAGGAGCAGGGAGCGGACCAGGACACCGAGGGGCTACAAGCTACAGTGATGGTGCTAAAGAGCCAGGTAGTTAGAGGAGCCCCCTGGGAGGGCCAGAGGATGGCCGAGGAAGCGGGACTGAGGATGGGGCTGGGACCAGCGGGACCCAGCAGAGGCATGTGTGTCCAAGGGGCTTCTGGTTCCTTCCCAGCCCTCATCTTGCCTGGGGAAGCCGGCACAGGGCTGGTGAGTAGTTTGGGGACCATGGGCAGGTAGAGCACAGCCCAGCCTTCCTCCAGAGGCCAGAGGTCTGAAGGGTGGGCCAGGGACCATCCAGAGGGTGGTCTGCTGGCCAGAGGGTGTCTCAGAGGGGCAGGCCCGGCCAACAGCCAGTGTCCTGAGCCTCGGGATCATGTGTGTACCTGGGCAGAACTGGCCTAGACTTGGACTTCTCCTGGCTCTTCCTCTGGCCTCAGGATGTCTTGGAATCTGTACAACTGCCGTTCGCCATTCACCAATCTGCATTGAAGCTCTGGGGACTTCCAGGCCTTGTGGTAAGCCGAGGTGATGCAAGGCACAGAGACCAAAGCACAAGGCCACCTCTTCCTTGGCCCTGGAGGAGCTCACAGTTGGCCTCAGGGCATTTGCTCTTCTGGCCTTAGAGGTGTCAGGCCCCGGGGGTGGGGGCAGAGGGGTGACCGCTAGGGAGATGAACACATTAGCAAACAATGACCAGACACTTCTAATTCCTCTCTGCAGAAGTCGGGGCTTCATGGAGGAGGTGATACCTGAGCTTGGGAGTCAGAGAACAGGCAAAACTTCACCGAGTCACACACTTACAAAAATATTTTGCTTCCTTTAAGCCACTTGTTCCGGGCTGGAATACAACAGTAGGTACATCTGTTCTTTTTGAAGTGACAACTTGGTGGGGGAGAAAATATGATTGCTCCAGGCAAAAACATAAGTCCTTGAAAGAGCAGGAATGAGGAGAACTGCAAAGGAGCAAGTGACAGGATGCAGAGCACCCCATGGAGGGCTTCTCGGAGTGGGGGAGGCCAGAGACAGGAAAATGACTGGGACCTACCTGTGCCACAAGTAGAGGGTACAAAGCTTTGCCAACTCCACCAGCGCACCCAGGGGACCCTGCCCACTTTAAGCCCCTGTTCCAGGACGGAGCGCAAGCGGAGCCTCTACCTGCTGGGCTGGTTGGCAGAATTCAAGGAAATCATCTCTACGAAATGCCTAGCACAAGGTCAGGCATGCACCAAATGTTCCATACATGTTAGTCTCCTTCTCCTTGCCTCCCAGGCAAAGAGCAGCTCATTTACCTAGGTACTGTTCAGTGATTAAGTGCATTGACTCTGGAGCCAGACTGCTTGGTTCAAAGCCCAATTCTGCCACTTATGAGCCATGTGACCCTGGGCAAATCACTTGTCCTCTCTGTGCCTGTTTTCCAGTTTGTGAAATAAATGAAGATTATGATAATCATACCTACATCCTGAGACTGTGGAGAGGATTAAATTAATGTATGTCTGGGGCTCAGAGCAGCATCTGCCAACCACTACTACTCTTCACACCTTGTATTTGGTACCTGCAGATGCTGAACATGGATTGTGAGTGAATTGATGAAGAGGTAAAACTACACCACAATGCAGAAGGGTGCCATATATGAAGCCATTGGGCACCAATATGAGAGGCAGTAAATCACCCCAGCCGATTAAGTGCCTTCCCCCAATAAAACCCAGATAATCCCCACACCAAGAGTTGATCCTTGCGCTCAGGCCATTCCAAGTTATCAGCCCATTTCCCTTCCTGTTGTCCAGCACTCTCACCCACCTCTCTGCTTACTCCGAAGCAGGAAGAGCAGACATGGGGGTGGGAGTGGGAAGCAGCCTCAGATCCAGTCGCAGTGGCGACAGCAGCATCCATGGCAGCAGAGGGCTGACCCACAGATCAGAGGAGGTGATGGAGCAGAGCCAGCCCAGGCAAAGAGCTTGGCTCTCAGGAGAGCAGAGGAGGCCCTGTGCATAGAGCAGGCCACAGATCAGCGACCACAGGCAGCAGGGAGGGCCCTCAGAGGCCCTGCCCAAGTTCTTCATCGTCCCTGCAGCCAGCAGCCAGCAGCCAGGCTCCGGCAGGGCGAGGCTCTGGCCAGGTTCCGAGCCCCGCCCTCCTTGACCTGGAAGCTGGGGGCAGCCTAGATGCTGGCCGCTGCTGCCCCCGCGTGGCTACTCTTCAGAGTGCACGGCACCGCCGCTGGTACCTGAGCAGTATTTGCAGAGCTCAAAAGCCCAGGGAGCTCCCAGAGCACTCCCCCAGGCTGAGGGAGGATAGAGGCCCCCTCCTGACAGCTTCTCAGACTCTGACCCTCTTCTGGACTGGCCCCTCAAACTCCTATCTGTGTCCCCAGAGCTCGCCAAGAGCTTGTCCAGGACGGTAGTGGCTGCTTTGTAGGATCTGTCAACAGCTGTCTCCCCGAGAACCATGTTCCCCTGCAGTCTGCCCTGCCTTTCACGCTGGCCTGTGGTGGGCTTTCAATCTGCATGTGTGATGGCAGGAGTAAGAAGACACATCAGGAGAAGCAGAACATCTTTACGTATTTATTTATCAAAACGTTCACAAGCCTGACCTCATTCACCAACACAAAACACACAACTGGGACACAAACACCAGGCCTTGGAAAAGGCTGTCAAGTTACATAGGAGGTCAGGAAGGAATGCACACAGTTGGGTGGATTTTTGGTTTCATCAGCAAGGGTTTGGGGGGCTCTAGTCCCACACCTGGGAAGGTGGAGGGTCAAGGAAGGCAATAAATAGGGCCGTGGGCCCAGCGGCTTTGGTACATTGCGGGTTCATTTCAGTGGTTCCCCCACAGAAACAGGCGCTGGTGCAGGAAGGCCAGATGTGCAGCTGAGGTCCCTGCAGACAGCCCCCGCTGCCCTTCAGGGCATGAGGTAAGACAGCCTGACTCTGCAGGCCCTAGCTATCCATGTCAGAGGGCATAGTCTTTTTCCGTGTCCGAACCTTCAGAGAGCGGGAGGTGCCCTGGGAGGAGAGGAACTCCATGATTGGTGTGGGCTGAGGTGCCAGGACCACCCACCCACCTCCCTTGGATCATCCTTGCCACTGACCTCTCGCACTGGTGGCTTCCTTTTGACTGTGCGCAGGCTCTGGGTCCGGCTCAGTGGCTTTTCTCGGGGCTGTGCAGGTGGCTGGGGCACTACCTCGGTATCCGACCAACACCCGTCCTCTGTGTCACTGTCCTGCAGGCCTCCTGCCCGGTACCCTGGAGAAAGGCCACAGGAGGCAGAGCTGGGCACTGACACAGTCTCAAGGCCCGGGACCACACCTGGCCTTCCTCTAGCCCCGCCCAGGATGGCTCTGGGTCCCTTGGCCACTCACTGATGGGTGGTCTCCGGCGGGGCACCTCATCCTCCAGGTAGAGGGGGTCCTGGTACGTGGGGGCAGAGGTGTCGGGGATGGAGCGCAGGTCTTGCATAGAGAAGCTCCGCAGCCTGCCAGCCAGTGCACCCTGACTCTGAGAAGAAAGCATTGGATCATTTGGGAGGAGGAGACTCAGAAGGAAGGGGCTTCAGCCAGGGAAATTCAGGGCCAACCTGCAGCTAATCACTGTGGCTGGCATAGGGCTCAGAACTGAGAGCAATTCAGCCACCTGCTAGAGCCAGGCCTTTGTAACCAGAAAAGGAAACTATGGCCATGAGAGAGCCCGAGTAGGTAGCTGCTCACACTTGGTGTCAGCCAAGGTCTCAGCCTGACCCCTGCACCCTAGCCCTAACCCCTATCTCTTGGCTCCCTGGACAGCCCCAAAGGCAAAGGTAGGGCAGGGGCTGCCAGAGGGCTGGGCCCAGGGCACCTTGGTGGCGGCCTGCACAGCAGCTGAGGCAGCAATGTTGAGGCTCCGCTTCCCAAAGGTGAGCACTGTCTGGTAGCTGCGCTCCTTGGCCTGCACTATGTATGCGTCGATCTCCTGTGGACCCAGGGGAGGGGCAGTCAGGCAGACAGCAGGAGCCCCCCCACCTCTGCAGACCCTGAAAAACCGCTGGGTGTCACACCTCCCTGCCCACCGCCACGCAGATAGTCACAGATTCAGCCAGGTACACACACCAAGAGCAGGCTGCCCCACCCCCTGGGCCATCCCTCACCTCAGTAGGCAGCCCCATCTCACTCTCCATCCCCAAACCAACTTCCAGGTGGCACCCCACACCACTGGAAGTCATTCGCATGCACCCCTGTTTGACCATCCCGGCCAGACCCTGTCGGGTCCCACAGGTAGAGAGCAGCAGGACTGGGATTAGAACCCAGTGTTCCCATATCCAGGGCCCTCTCCCACTCCTTTCTAGGTCTCCCTCTCTGCCTCCCCCTGGGGTACCTTCTCATGGCGGGACAGGGATGGATGGACAAACTTTCGGTAAAGCAGGCTGGCCCCCTTGGTGTAGGGTGAGAGCAGCCACAGCACAAAGGCCATCTTGATCTCATAGTAGAAAGGGAACCTGTCAGCGCACAGGAGCAAGGTGAGCTAAGGACCGAGTCCAGGGAGGGGCTGCTCCCACCCCACTGCCTGCAGACTGCCATGCCCAGACCAGGAGATAAAGACGTCTGTGAAGGTCTCTACTGCCATGAAGATTGCAAAGATGATCCAGTACATCATCCACCGGACCTGTGGGGCACAGACCACAGAGGTCAGCTTCGGAGCCTGCAGGGCCAACGCTCACCCGACTGGCCAGGCCCAGACATTCCAGGGAGCCTGTCCTGCTGCATTGCTGCGTTTGCCTGTGCCTGGCTAGACAGGCGCTTCTGGGAAACTGCCACTCATTCCTGTGCCCACTCCGGTGCGCTACACCCACAGGCCTTCCACAGGCACTCCAGTGGCCTGCCCTCTTCCCACGCCTGCCTGAACAGGGCCTATTCTCTCCCTTGCTGTCACTCAGGATACGCCCCACTGCTCAGACCCCCCCAGTCCTGCTACCCCCCACGCCCATCAAGACTGCCTACCCTCTGGCACTCACATATTCACGAATGTTCTTGGTCTTCACAGCCTTGTAGGAAGCGTAAGATGGATAGAGCATCCCAAATACCAGCCTGGAAGAGCAGACATAGGGAGTGTGAAGGGCACCACACCTTACCCTCACTCTGCCAGGCAGCTGCCCCCCCCAGCCACCACTGGGGTTCCAGGCAGCAGTGCCTGCCTCGTTTTTCCCGATTGGCTTGCATAACCCGTGGTGCCTGAGTCAGTGCCCTGGAGGCCACCTCCCCACCCTGGTGTTTACAAACATCCCCAGCCTGCCCAGGCCTGCAGAGGTGACCCATGGGTACATGGTGATGCCAGAGCACAGCTGCACAGCCGCTCAACGAGGTGGGTGACAGCCCCAGACTGTCCCCTCCCACGGGCATGCAATGAGGCCCAGGGCCACCAGACCTGGCACCACCAAACTGCAGACCCGGATATTTGAGCCAGGTGCTGGAGTCCTCAGAGGTGAGGGGTCGGACTGAGTGACAAGGCGGGGGGGGGGGGGAGTCACGTGACCGCCCAGATGGGAAGCACCTGGATTCTCCGCCCACAAAGTGCCCAGCCCTGCCTGTCTTTGGCTGTGGCTGCCTGTGGCCCTCAGCCACACACGCCTATCTGCAGGATGCCAGTATGCCTGCGCGTGGGAAGGGTCACCATCAGCCAAGGAGGCTGGAGAGGGGGGGACAAGCGCGCGGTGCCCGAGCTCCACGAAGGCCCCTGGTCCGTTGACCCCGGCGGTGAGTGCTGGGAGAGCCCAAGACGTTCAGAAAGTTCCCTTTCCCCCAAAACGTCCCCAGCCTCCACCCCAGGGGCAGGTTGGCACTGGGGTGGAGGCTGAGGGGTAGAGGGAATCTGAAAGTGGCCATACTCACACCACCAGGCGACAGATCATCCAGGACACCATTCTGACGGCCTTGTGGGTGCAGGAGAGCCCCCAGAAGGACTACCGCAAGGGGGGCTGGGGCAGGGGGCTGAGCGGTGGGGCAGGAAGTAGGGGCGGTCCGGCTGTCCCCAGGCGAAGGCTGAGCCCGAGCCCACCGACCCCGATCCCGCAGCGCGGGGCCTGGAGAACCCAGCCGCCAGCCGCAGGAAGCCGACTCGGGAGAGGTCCCCGCGGGCTCGCGGCTGGGCAGTTGGAGCTGTGACCCGCACTTCCTGCTGCAGAAAACCAGGCGTTGAGTGGTCCCTGACCGGCGTGGTGGGTCGCGGCCTTCGCGCCTGAGGGTCGTCGCGGCCCCAGCCCGCCCAGCCACCGGCACCGGCCTCTTGGGCGGAGTTTGCAACTCACTTGAAAGTTGCACGGACCCGGGTCCTCCCAACCCCGGCGCTCCGGCGCGATGCGCAGACGCAGTACAGTTCCGGAGGGGAGGGGCCAGGTCAGGGAGCCGAGAGGCTGGCCACTTAAAGGGGCTAGGCACGCGCAGCTGGAGACTGCGGCCTTAGCCTTCCTGTTCAGAAAGATTAGGGGATGGGAGGAGGCAACAAAAGGAGAGAGAAGCATAAAGAAAATCTGGACCCCAGGATTCACGTGGCTCTTCACTGGCTTCTCTCACTGCCCTTCCTTGTGGCTCATTTGTCCCCTTCTGTCAAATGGGATAGGGCAAGAAATGAGTGGGGTCCACCCCTAAGGCTCAGAGATGAGCTGGAAGCAGGCCTGGCTGAGCCCATGCAAGTCCCAGTCCTACACCCCTGGGTCTCGGAGATTAGTAAGCCCCCCAAAGAGGCCCCGCTGACAAAGGAGAAGAAGGAGGAATGGGAAGTGGAGTCCATCCCTCCACGGAAGGTCTCAGGGGTGCACTTCCTTGTGGACATTTTCCCAAGGCGCACATACCTAGGCTGACCACGGTGACTTGAGAGATTCTGGGTGGAGCAAACAGCTCACCCTGCCTTCTTCGCCAGAAGCTTGAAATTTCATCGCTGGGCCTGGAAGCACATACCTGTAATCCCAGCACTCTGAGAGGCTGAGGCAGGAGGATGCAAACTTCAAGCCCAGCCTGGGCAACTCAGTGAGCTGTTGAGATCTTGTCTTAAAATTTATTTATTTATTTATTTATTTATTTTTTCTGGTATGGGGAATCGAACTCAGGACTTGCATTTGTCAGGCAGGTGCAGTGCCATTGAGCTAAATCCCCATCCCCCTTGACTTAAAATTTTAAAAAGGGCTGGGGCTGCAGCTCAGTCCGAAGGTACTGAGTTCTATCCTCAGTATGGGTGGGGATCCCTGGGAACTTCATAGCACCTGTGTTTTTGTATTCCGGGTCTTCAATTTTGCAGAGCTTCTTTTTACCATGTAGGAAATATACTCACTGAAGTAACTTGCCTAAGGTGCCCCCGAGGTATTTATTGTGGCTGATGGCTAAATGTGTGGCATGGTCTCACATTTATGCTGCTCTTCAGGATCACCCCAGCCAGCTGCGAGCAGTCCAGAGAGGGGAATACAGGACTGAAGAAGCTGTTCTGGGACTGAGGCAGGGAAGGGACTCTAAAATGAAGGTGCCTTTGCTGCCTCTACAGCTTCCCTCATGGGCTTTTGTTCTGTGTGACTTCCTCTGCTTGTGCCTTAGTTGATCGCTGTGAAGGGGGGGGTGGCCCCCTTTGCTGCACTGAGGGGAGGGGGGAGGATGAGAGCTGGGGGGGGTGCTGTTGGGGTGGAAACCCAGGCAGCTACTACTTTTTATTAGAGCCACAGTTAACACTCACCACCTATGAAATGGGTGGGATCGCTAATGATGGGAGCCAGAGAAAGGAGACTTCTTGGGGGAAAATAAACACACAGTGATTATATGATCTTAATTATTATCATCAATTTTATTGGTTTTGCTGGGTGTGGGAGCCAGGGGTGAAACTGGCCCACAGGAGAAACTCTCCCAAGGCCTCCTGTCTCCTTCACCCTTCCGGGCCACCCCACCCCCACCCCAGCCCCATGCCATGTTGGAGGAACAAGAAATGCCAGAAAGGTCCTAGCCACCACCCATCTCGGGGTACAGACATGGTTCTTCCGGCAAAAGCTGTCCTGGGTGTCAGGGAAGGAGAAAGTGTGTAATTGGGCTGGGGATTTAGCTCAGTAGTTTCGACGCCTGCTGCGCAAGCGCAAAGACCCAAGTTCGATTCCCGGTACCAAAGAAAAAAAAAAAGTGTATAATTGATGGGATGGGGAGGGGCAGCTCAAGAAGAGTCGGGGGCTGTCGGGGGGTGGGGGAGATGTCCTTTGCCACATCCTCCTCACTGGCTGCCTGCTAGAGCCCATGCCTGATCTCAGCATCAGAAGCCACCCTCTGTCCCCATTTTCCCAGAGGACCTCTCTGGTGCCCATTCCAAGCCCACCCAGATGGGATGGCCTCTTGCACAGAGACTCCTGGTCCCAGTGCCCATGCTTGGGATGTCTAAAGGGCAGGAAGTCAGAAGTCTGCCACTGAGACCAGGGCTCTGCTCTGAGGGCCATGAGGCTGGCAGCCAAGGAGTGTCACCCGGCTTGGCTTTGGCAGAATGAGTGGACTCTGGCTCTTTCGGCCTTTGGTCCTGAGCTGTTGACACAGTCACCCAGTTACACTGGGTTGCTAAGCTGCTCCCTGGACACATGGATGAGCCCCAGGGCAGGTGACCAGGCAGCCACACAGCAGAAAGCTGGGCATTCAGAATACGATGGAGACTCTCCCGCCAGTGGAGGAGCCGGCCTGGACGGAGCAGCTGTGGGAGCAATGTTTACCATTTGACTGGGGAGCAGAATGCCAGTGGCTTTAGGAGGCTCTGTCCGCTTTCCCTGACAACCTCTCCTGGGTAGCGAGAAAGATCATTTTTCATTTTGTTGTTGTTGTTACTTGTTTTGGTTTTTTGGTTTGTTTGGGTTTTTTTTGGTACCAGGGATTGAACTCAGGTCCTTGCACTTGCACAGCAGGCGGTGAAACCACTGAGCTAAATCCCTGACCTTGTTTTGGTTTTCTGAGACAGGGACTTGGTACATAGCTCAGGGTGGCTTTGAACTCACTCTGTAGCCCTGGCTGGCCTCAAACTTCCTGCCTCAGCCTTCTGAGTGCTGGGATTGCAGGTGTGCACCACCATCGCCTGACTTCATTTCCCATTTGAAACCGCAGGCCAGGCACTCCCAGGATAATAAGATTGGTTCCCCGAGGGTGCCTGCTCAGCCAAGAGCATGTGAATGTGGTTTGAGGAGGTGGAAACCCATACTAGCCACCCACAGTGAGGCATGGCCAGCGGCAGGGTGGCTGGGCATGTGAGGCCACATGTAAGATGTAGGGTGCAGGGGCTCTAAGACTGTGGATTTGTGAGGAACCTTAAGCCATGCACAGCAGTCCTCCCCAAAGTCGCCCTCTCCAAGCTGCCCATGTCTCATACACTCCTGAAGGCCAGTGCAACTCATAATTAGGTGCCAGCCACGCCATCAAAGGGCTGTGCATGTATTAGTATACCTTTAACGCATCTAAATCTCATGATAGATAGCCGCATCGGTTAAGTCTGATTATACCCGCTTCATAGATGAGCAAACTGAGACATAAATAGACAAAATAACGCCTTCACCCACTAGCCAGCTGGTCCAATCAGGATTCCAAAATAGTAGGTTTTCTTTTTCTGCTCTGCAGAAGAAATTGAGGCTCAGAGAAATTGGTCGACTTGCTTGAAATCTCACACTGAGCAAAGTGGCAGAGCTCGAATGCACACGTGTGCGGTGCAGACGAAGCCCAGACAGCGTCCTGCCGTGCACAGGCCACAGGTGCGTGTCCCCCTGCTTCTGAGAGCTCGAGGGTGCTTGGACCCCATCTCCTTACCCCGTGTCCACCAGTGCTCCCTGAAGGACAGAGCGGCAAAGGGTGACACAGGACACACGTGTGACACATGGGTAATGTGTGAGAGCTGAAAGGGGCCCTGGAGCCATTGAGGACCCAGAGAAGGGAGGTGACCTGTCCAGGGCCACAAGGCCCAGCATCCTCTGCCTGAAGAGCTGTCATTTCCCTTCTCCTGTCCCTGACCTTGTCACTGACCCACACAGGAAGCAGCAGGCTTTACTTTATTTGAGCCCATGGATGAGGGGCAGTGATAAGGAGAAATGGGGTCCGACAGGTCCACACCCCCACTGTGACACATGCATTGTGTGTGTTCCCGAGATCCCCATTCTTCCCGGGGAGCTTCGACACTACATCCGGCTTAGCCCCTTCTTCTTCACTCCCCATCATCACAGGCTCTCTCAGCTCCACTTTCTGGCATGGGAAGGGATGCTGACAGCCCACCCAGAGGACCCCAATATGGATGGAAAGCTGTGGGCTCTTTGCCCAGAGAACAGGGAGCCAAGCCAGGTTCCTAAGCAGGGGAGGGCGTGATGGAAAGATGCTTTAGGAAGGTCACTGTGAAAAGTGGGCTGGCAGAGGGGTGCGTCTAGAGACAGTAGTGAGGGGAGCAGATTTGGACAAAGCAGGAAAAGGGACAGAACAATAAATGCCCTCATCTGAAAAACCTTGGAGACAAAGAATGACGAGAAGACTTGGTGGCTGATTAAATATGGAGAGAAAAGGGACCAAAAAATTACATGGGACTCCATGGTGCCTCATCTAAGGTGGAGGGTGGCAGCAGTGGGGGACATCTGCCACCCAGAGGGGCTGGGGCTGGGCTGGAAGGGGAGGAGAGACAGACTCAAGCCTTAGTGAGTCCCCAGCCTGGGACTTCCAGGAAGGAACAAGGGACTGAGTCAGCCCCAGGTGGAGTGGAGGAGACTCGTCACACTGGCCCAGCACCTGAGTGTCGTCACTGTGAACTCCTGACCCCAGCCCCCGCTGACCCTGGGGGTGCCCAGTCCTTGGAGGGAAGTGAGTGGAGGAAGAGGGTCTGGAAGCTGATGCCCGCCGGCCTTGGGGTGCAACAGGGAAGATAACATGGCCCAAGCCCTGTTCCTTAGGAAGCACCTTATGACACCTGAGAGCTGGAAGGGGGTGGAGCTTTTTATTTGAAGCAAGTGAATCAAAGCATTGACCCAAGTGCCCCTGGGCATCCTGCCACAAGGAGTCACAGCCATCTGGGCCCTCCCTCCTCACGGGCCTCACTTGGCCTCTGGGAACAGTGCCTCCAGGCGTCCAGCAGAGGGCAGCAGAAGCCAGGCTCCTGATGTGCCCCCAGCCCATTCCGGCCCAGAGCTCAGCCTCCAGCCTAGGGGTGTACCCCTGGGCGGCGGAGGGGTGCCAGGGCCCCCAAAGGCTAGAAGCCAAGCTCTGTTCTTTTCACCCACAGAGGAGAGTCAGGGACTCACAGGTTCCCTGGCTCAGCCAGCTCCTGTACCCACTGAGGAGAATCACAGCCCAGGGGTCCCATCCCAAAGATGGGGTGAACCAGGAGGTGGCCAGGCCTGAGGAAGCGACAACCACAGAAAGAAAGGCTCATCTGGGTGGTCTTCTGTCCCCAAGTGAACTGGGATTCAGGGTCACAGAAGGCACTCCCGTGAGAACCCAGGGCTGGGACTGCTTTGGGACAGAGGCGCAAGCCAGCACTCCCAGGCTCACCAGTGTAATTGTCCTAATTGTCCTCATCGGCTGCCGGCCGCTGGGGGCTACACTGCAGGGAGCAAGTGAGGAGCAGTATTGTGGGTCCCTCCAGGAAGAGCAGAAGCAAGGCAATAAGAGAGGGGAGCCCCTTCGGGCAGCACCATCTGCGTGTGTGCCCAGGGGGACGGTGTTTACCTATGGAAGTGTGAGTGTGGACAGGTGTGTGTGAGTGAGAGGCTGAGTGTGTCTGTTAGTGTCCACGTGTGTATGCACAAGGGTGCAGCAGGAGTGGGTGCACTTGGGAGCTGACAGCTGTGGCTGAAGCTGCAGTGTGAAGTGTGAACAGGGAAAGACACACCTGGAGTGCCCACAGGAAAGGCCTCTGTGGGTGCCAGAAGTGGCCAGTGGAAAGTCTAAGCCGGAGAGCAGGAGGGCATGGCTCATGCCCCTCTCTGTGCCCAACCCATCACTTCTAAGCATGAGCAAAGGAGCAGAGCCCGGGAGCCTATAGATATGGGAGGCGGTGCACACATATAGGAGGGCCAGAGTACCTGGGTGCCTGGTGCATATATAGGAGTTCGTGCTGATTACAGAGACAAGGAATGGCTCCCCCAGGCCAGTCTGTGGTATATGCCCAGGCTCACCCGTGTGTGCACGTATAAGGGTGCATATGCAGGTGGGCCGATGTGACCTGCGCAGGCACACGTGCTGTTCAGAGGCCCCCACCCAGCCTCCAGCACCACCCTGAGGACCCAGAGGCCTTGACAGCCCTCTAGGCACTGAGATCCACCACGATGTGTCGGTATACCAGCGTCTGTCCCTTGAAGCTGGGGGCCAGGAGCAGCTGGGTGTCCCCAGCAGGGATGTAGCAGAAGGCCCGGGGGGCCTGCACTGCCAGCTCCTGGAACCGTACAAACTTCTCTCGCCCCTCGTCCCACTGGTAGATCTGCGTGAAGGAGAAGTCGCTGCCCAGCGCCAGGTAGCGGTGGCCACCCACCAGGAAGGGCTGCAGGGCCAGGGAGCCGCGGGAGGGCAGCGCCTGTACCTCGGAGAAGCGGGTGGCCTCCCAGCGCAGGATCTTGGAGTCACCGATGTAGCGGCTGAGGCACAGGTAGCTGTCACGGCCAGCACGGAAGTGTTTCACAGCCTGGGCATCAGGTACCTGAGTCACCTCTCCCTGGGGCACAAACTGTTTCTGGGTTCGACTCCATTGATAGATGACCGGTGCCTGGGAGCTGCTAGACACAATCAGCCGCGGCTTGCCCTCGCCATCCACAAACTCGAGGTCGGTGTCACGGTGCCAGGCGTGCAGAGCCTGGTGGGAGTAAAAGCCATTTTGGTGCCAACGGTAGAGGCTGGTGGCACCTGCCTTGGAGCTGTCAGCCACAGCAAAGTACCAGTCGCCGTCAATGCGGAAGGCCTCCAGGTCGTTGGGCTTGCGAACGCGCTGGGGGTCGATGTCCTGCAGCTTGGTGAAGCGCGTGGTGTTGGGATCCCAGTGGTAAATGTAAGAGCCACCGAACAGTTGGGCCACGACCACATACAGCTGGCTGTCCACCACCATCGGCTTGCAGTGGACGGCTGAGGAGGCTGCCAGGAGAGAGACAGGTGAGAGAAGGCAGTGGCAGGAGGGTCTGCAACTGCCAGCCCATCCCACCCATCAGAGAAGGAAATGAGTCCCCAGCTGTGGGCTGGGACTGAGACGCTGGTATAGAACCCACCCGGGACTATGTCCATCCACCCAGCGCTCAATGCCCTCTAATTTGTAACTGCTTCACAAGCAATCATCAGTTTCTTTTTTTTGGTACCAGGGATCAAACTCGGGTCCTTGCGCTCGTGCGCAATCATCAGTTTCTATATCGCCCTCGCTCCACCCTTCACCCCATGGTGCAAACATGAGCTGACCTTGATCACAAAACAGGTGTCCCTAGGTACTGACCAATGCTTCACTATATGTCAATTACTGAATATTTATGGCGTGCATTCACTGAGCTAAGTGTAGACACAGTACCTCTGTGAATCATGCCGAAAAGGACTGGGTTATTTTGTTCTCTTCACATAGAAAGAAACAGAAGCTTAGAGAGAGTGGCTCGCCCCAAGCCACCCCACTGGCATTTGGCCTGGCAGGGGAGGGTGAGAAATCCCAGACTTCCCCGAGGATACCTTGATGTTGGGACAGTAGTGCATGGAAATGCATTGTCCCGGGGTCCCACATTGGGAAAAGCTTCTTGTACTCACCACAAGGTCTCTCCGAACCCTTCTAGGGCACAAAGCACATGAGGCTGCCACCCACTTTCCTCACCACCCACCTTCCCCTCAGGGGAGCTGTGCAGGGCACGGGCTCCTGTGGTCACTGCCAGACCCCTTTCTTTGAGCCTTGGTCTGGCCCCCAGCTCCCCTCTGCGCTCAGACTTAGTCTGGCCCACATGGAGCTCCTTACCCACCATCAAGCTGGCTCCTCCTCCTGTGCCCTCAATTTCAATATGTGCCTCCAGTCACCCAGTCCAGAATCCTGGGGGTCTCCCCAACACTTCTCTCCATTGCTCACACACCCTTTGAGCCCCAAGTCCTGGTAATCCTCCCTTCTACTTGCCAGAAGAGCATGTGCAAGATCCACATTACTTCTTCCTTAAAGGTTTGGTGGGGTTCACCAGGGCCTGGAGTTTTCTTTGGGGGAAGGTTTTTAAAACAAACTTCAAGTTCATTCATAGACCTGGGGCAACTTAAATATTCTCATGTATTGCATCAGTTCAGATCTTTCTCTGTGCATCCACCTGCGGCTGCCTAAGCCAGGCTCTGGGGTCCCTGCAGTGGACAGGCACACAGCCCCTGACTGGCCGCCCCACCAGACCCGCTTCCTGCCTCACCTTTCCAGGAGGAATCAGTTCACACACTGCTTCACCATGGATGACCTGGTCTTTATCAGTCTGCTTGCACATGCCACTCCCAACCTGAATCTGTTTTCTCCTTGCAGCACTGGCCATTGAACCCAGGACCTCTGCACAGAGCTACATCCCCAAACTTTAAAAAAAAATGTTTGTATGTTGAGACAGGATCTCAATAAATTGCCTAGAATGGGCTTGAACTTCTGATCTGCTTCAGCCTCCCAAGTGCTGAGATTTGAGGCCTGCACCACCACCCCTGGCCTCCCCTCTGAACCTTGCCTCGAAGTCAATTATACCAGCTGCCTGCGGTCTGCACACACACGCACTCCCACACTAGGCTGTTGCATATCTTGACTTTGTTCCTGCTCTTTGTTCCTATTTGTTCCCTCTAGAACACCCTTCCCCATTTCCCTCTGACATGTTCCTCAGCCTGCAAACTTCAGCGCAAGCACAGTAGACCGCAAACTGAACTCAAGAGCCACTCTTATTTCCTCCTCCTTTTGGGGGGCGGGAGGTTGAGACAAGGTCTCACTATATAGTTCAGGTTAGTCCTGCACTCACTATGTAGCCCAGGCTGGCCTCAAACTCAAGGTGATCCTCCTGCCTCAGCCTCTCGATTGCCCAGAGCATGGGGTTGATGTCTTCCTCCCAGCACCCGACTATTGTATGGCTGTTACCCCTTGTGTAACCCCCGACCTTGTCTCATCTATTCTCTAATAGGACTCTGGTGGAGTTGAACTGCTGCAGACCCTTAGCCAGGGCTAGCGCAGCCAGGTGAGGTGCAGGTACCTGGGATTCTATCGTAGTCTCGAAGCTGCCTTTCCACATAGTCCCACTTCAGCACTGCGCAGGCACTGGCGCTGGGCTGGGCCAGAGCCAAGTAGAGGTCGCTGGAGTAAAGGAAGGGCTCAGCGGACACGGCTGGGAAGGACAGGGTCTGGTAGAGCACGAAGTCTACAGGTACGAGAGGTGTGGGGAGGCAGGACTCAGCCCAGAGGAACCTGGGACCTGCCCACAGGTGCTACTGCGGGGCGGGGCATGGCCTACCTGTGGTGATGCAGTCAAACTCCCGCAGCGGCAGGTCCTGCACCTTGTGCTCCTGGAAGCGGGGCGGGCTGGCGCAGTAGATGGGGGCCACAGTGGCATTGGTGTGGGCCAGCCACTCCACCAGCCACTTCACCTTGCAGTCGCAGTTGAGCGCATTGCCCCGTAGGTCCCTGGAGGGTGAGGGCAGGGCAGGGGCACAGGGGGGCAGGCTCTCGGCGGCTCTGCCCACCACCCTCTAGCCTTTCAGAAGCAGATCCTATCAAGGCTGCTTGGAGTCGCCCGCTCAAGCTTTGCAAAAGGTGCCGAGAGCGCCCCCCCTCCCCCGCAGAGCAGGGGCAGCTCCATGCACAGGCTCAGCCAGAAAATCAGGTGCTGAGTGGCAGCCCCTGTTGCCTCCTTGGCCAGGTGTCTTTTTTCTTTCTTTCAAATGGGACTGAGGATTGAAACCACGGTTTTTACACTGAGCTACCATCCCCAGCTCTTTTACTTTTTTTTTGTTTTGTAATTTCAAAATAGGGTCTCACTAAGTTGCTAAGCTTCCCAGGCTGGGCTCAAACGTGATCCTCCTGCCTCAGCCTCCTAAAGTACTAGGGATACAGGCATGTGGCAACACATGTGGCTTGCCAGCTGCCTTTTGCAGTGGACAACCTGCACAAGTATCTGTCACGTTCCTGTCCCTCTAAGCTTCCTATAATGCAGAGCTTTGACTTTCTTCTATCAATAATAAATGACTAGCTATGCTATAGGACTTTTTGAAATTTTTAATATATATATATATATTTTTTTTTTGAGACTGAGAAGCTGAGCTTTGGGTCTGATCAGTGCTGCTCTGGGCAGCAAAGACAAAAACCCCTAATATATATATTTTTTTCAGTACTGGGGATTGAACTCAGGGCCTTGTGCATGTGAGGCAGTATATCCTGGGCCCTTTTTTGTTTTTGTTTTTGGAGGCAGGGTCTCCTTTTGTAGTTCAGGCTAGCCCTGAACTCACTATGTAGCCCAGGCTGACCTCAAACTCAAGGTGATTCTCCTGCCTCAGCCTCCGGAGTACTGAATATAGGACTTTAATGTAGATTCAAATCAAACACATGTTTAAAAAGCATGTTTTACCAATGATGAATGTCATTATATTGTATACTTAAAATGTACCAATAAAATTAATTTAAAAAATAAAAAGCACGTTTTTTGTTTTTGTTTTTGGTACTGGGGATTGAATTCAGGACCTTGCACTTGTGAGGCAGGTGGCAGAACCACTGAGCTAAATCCCCAGCCCAAAAGCACGTTTTTGAAACACAGAGCTCCTCGTGTATATTTCAAGAGGTGACTTGAGGAACCCCAATTTGGAAGACTATCATCTACATCTCACCTGACATCATCTCAGATCCCCCAAACCCAAACCATCCCAGCCTTTTAAGGCCTTAGGGTCACCCCAGCCCTGGCTCCCCACACTGCTCCCTCCGGGCATGGTGCCCTCTGTTGGAAGAGGCAGGGCCTTACAAGTCACTCAGAATGTCCAGGGGCCGGAAGATGTCTCTGGGCAGTGTCTGCAGGTTATTGTTGGCCAGCGAGCTGCAAGAGAGGCCCGGGGTCCCCTGAAGATCATGGCCAAAGCCACAGGCCGGAGGAAACGTGGGCTTTGGGTGTGGTGTGTGTATGTGTGAGGTACTCACAGGTGTGTCAAGGACTTGAGCCCCCTGAAGGTGAACTTGGATAGGGCCCAGATGTCATTGTTTTCAATGAAGCTGGAGAAAATGAGAGCTTGCCTCAGCTGCTGCTGGAAATCCTAGACCCCAGGCATCCATTCCCTGTACCTCAGCCCAGACCCCAGTCCCAGCCAGAGACCGGCTCCTGCCAAGTACAGCGATGCCAAGCCTGTAAGGACAGGGCATCAGGCAAGGTAGGCAGGGGCATGGAGGAAATGCCCTTCTGCCCGGCTTGGGCAGTCAAGGGAGGGGCCCTCTCTCCCCTGTCCCTCCTCCTCCAGCCTTCCCTGCCACCGCCCCTCTCAGAGTCTCAGAGCCGGGCCTGGCTCCCTCCCACCATCTAAGTTCCAGTGCCTTCTCCCTCCCAGCCTTTTCCCTCCCACACACAGGTACTGCAGGTGGGACAGTCCTGTGAAGGCGTTGTCTCCAATCAGCGTGAACTTGTTGGAGTTGAGTAATCTGGGGAGACAAAGATAGGATTAGAGCTCCCAAGGGTGTGTGTGCTCCCCTAGTCTGCTGCCTCCCAGCTGGGCTCCCCTGAAGTCTGGCTGCCCTCCCTCTACACCTTGGGACCTCAGTAGAGGACAGCTGTCCTGCCATTCCTTCATTCAGCCCCCAGCTCTTTCTTCCAAAGATCCCTGGGGGTCACCTGTGTCTAAGCTGACCCCGGGTGTCCACTCTCCAGTACTGGCCCAAGCCCTCACACCCAGTTCCCCTGGATCTCTAGAGGAGCCAGGTCCTCACCCCAATCCCACTTGCTTGGCCTCTGCATGCAGCCCCCAGCCCTTCTGCTTGTCACCTGCCACCCTGACTCCTGACTTCAGGCTGCCCGACCTTCTGTGGCAGAGCCTATTGGAGCCAAAGGGACACTGGCATCTTCATCTCTAAAGCGTCTGTCCCCCTGCACTGTGCCCCCCCCCAGCCCTTCCACAAGGCCTGGTCCATACAAGAACTGCAGCAGTGGCAGGTGGGAGAAGGCGCCGTCTTGGATCTCTGAGAAGGCAGCATTCACCAGGGTCCTGCAAGGGACATCAGTGTCACCATTGTAGGGACTCTGCAGGGCCTGTGTTGGCCAGAGATGCATGGGGCATTGGTCTCTGTACCAGCCCTGTCCACCACTTCCATCTCTCCCTCCCTTCTGCTCCCAAACTCCCTGCCCTCCTTCACCTTTCTCCTCCCCCGTGCCTCCGGGAGCACCAGTGGCCCCAGGCTCATCTTCCCTCTCAGCCAAGAAAAAGTTCCATTACCTGAGCTATTGTTAGCATCCAGACACCCACAAAGTGGCAGTGCCATTGAGGGACGGGACCCTGGGATGGGAAGGGCGCTGGCATCCTGCTTTCAAGTCCCACAGACAACGGGGGCCCTGGGTCCAGTTGCTGCAAGTGAGCCGGTCCAACTGGACACGGAGCCACTGGCCCATCGGCAGGTGCCCGCCCAGTGTCCGGGTACCCGGAGGGCAGACACACTTGCCAGCCCTCCTCCTGCTGCCCTCCCTCCTCCTCCCTGTTGCCCTTGGGGTAACATGACAGGCAGTGGCCCCACATGCTCCCGGTCGGGTCGGTCCCTCCACGGGCTGGGGTCCTGGGGGGATGACTCATTCCTGGCCACTGAGCCTGCCTGCCTGCAGAGCTCCCTGCAGCTGAGGCCTGGAGCTGCAACCCTGAGGGTCTCAGGCGCCCTCCTGGTCCCCACGCTCTGGAGAGCGCGGGGGTTTCCCACCCACTCCCAGAGGGTTTCTCGCCTCCCCTCGCACCCCCAGGCCAGGCAGACACTCACAGAGAGATGACCTCGGAGGGCAGGTTCCTGGGCACCGCCTTAGAGTCCACGCAGAAGGCGGTGTCCCTGGTGCAGGAGCAGCTGGCCGGGCAGGGGGGCGCCTTGGGGGGCCTCTTGGCACTGACTTGCAGAATCAGGCAGAAACCCAGCGTGGACAGCGCCAGCAGCCCGGGCCCAGGGCCCCACCTGGCCCGCAGCCGCGCCAGGGCCATTCCGCTGGAGGCTCGTCCTCCAGCCGCCGCGGCGCCCGCCGCTCCCTGCAGGGTGCGCCGCCCCGCACGATGCCGCCTTTGAGCTGCCGCACCGCAGGGCCGCCTGCCCTAGGGAGCCGGCGGCTTCCCCTCCCCTGCTCGCTCCCGAGAGCGAGAGAGGGTTAGGGAGCGCTGCGTGGAACCCCGAGCCGAGCCGCTCCGGAGGGCCGCCAGGGCGGGCGGGGTGGACGCGGGCTGCGGAGCGGGCCGCGGGCTGCGGGCGGGGGCGCGCGCGGGGCGGGGCGGGAGTTTGACGCCCGGGCCACCATCGATCTGCCTTGTGTCTCCTCCGGTCCCCAGGGCTCCGTGGAGCGAATGCACGGATGTGCGCGCGTTCCAGCGCATCTGTGCGCCGGCCACATGGATCCTGTGCCTCCCTGCTCCTGTGTGCGCCTCTTGGCTGCGAGGGGACATGATGAGGGACACAGGTGCATCTAGGCGGCAAGCGAGATCAGAAGCTCGAGGGTGCTTCTCTCTGTCCTCGTGTGTTTCCACGGCCACCAAACAGAATGTGACTGTGTCTGGGAGCTGAAAAGGGACATGCACTGGATCCTGTGGGTTTCTGGACCAGTTCTTTGGGCAGCACAGCCCATGGGAGCTAGGAAACACCTGATGCCTTCCAGTCCCTCAGGGGAGAAAACCGAGGCCTGGAAAAAGAGAAGCAGACCCTTGCCAACTGCACTGTGTGCTCCAATGGACAGAGCTAACCCCTGCCCTTTGGGAGAAGTGATCTTAATTCCCTCTCACAGATAAGCAAAGTGTGGCCTGAGGACCAGGAATCCAACTTGGAGTTCACAGCGGTCACTCGAGCCAGGCCAGCCCATGGTCCTTGAGAGCCGTTCACAGAGCCTTAAGGTCAAAATATTTTTTCTAATATGAGGACATTATTTGCCTTTTCAGTTTATGCTCTCACAAGAGTACCCTGGAATTTTCCAGAGGCTACACAGTGTGTCTTCTATTAAGCCTGAAAGTAACAGATTTGCAAAAACTGTGGCACTTTTTTCTAACTTCTTGGCAAAGAAACACTAGGAATGTACTAGGAGTTGAACCCAGAACCTTGGAACTGAGCTACTACATTCCCAATCCCCTCCCCTTTTTTTCTTTTTTCTTTTGAGACAGGGTCTTGGGAAGTTGCTAAATTGCCCAGGCTGGTCTGGAACTTTTGATCCTCCTGCCTCAGCCTCCCAGAATGCTGGGATTAGAGTTGTGTACCACCACACCTGTGTCTATATAAATAAACATTTTAATATGTCTCAGTAAATACCAATCTGGGAAAATAGCAGTAGATTTAGCCTACACAAACAAAAGTTATTTGGGAACTCTATACTTCTTAGGGGCATTAACAGTTCCCAAGACTGGGGGCCGGGGATTTAGCTCAGTGGTTTTGCTGCCTGCTGCGCAAGTGAAAGGACCCAAGTTCAATCCCCGGTACCAAAAAAAAAAAAAAAGTTCCCAAGACTGAGTGGTTTGAGAATTGCGACTCTGTATCTTGTCATTTCTGGGGGTGGATGACAGGGAGGATGGTCGGAGTGCCTGGAAGTCAGTGCTGGGCTTCTAGTCGTGGGCTCTTTCCACACTAGTTCTACTGTGTCCTCATCAGCCCAGGGAACTGAGACTGCTGGGCTTAAGATCTGTCCCCTTTGTCCCTCGCCTCCAGTAGCAGGGAGTCTCTGCTCCGAACTTAAGTCCAGTTCTCCCAGCCAGGGATGCCCCTGCTGATTGATGTCCAGTTGCCACTCTGCCCATCCAGCCGCCTGTGCTGCCATCTCCAAGCCAGCTCAGCGGAAGTGAAGCAGTGGGTGTGGGGAGGGTGGCCGGGGAGGGCAGCTGGGCAACTGTCCCCACTGGTCCCTGGCACAGCTCTGCCTGGCACACAAAGAGCAGAGTGAATCTCATCCCAACTCGTGCAGCTGAGGAGGAGGAGGAGGACAGGGAGACCCAGGAGTGGTGGCCTCGGTGAGGCTATAACCCACAGTTCTCAGGGTAACCGGAAGACAGATGGGCGGGGGACTTGGGGCCCTCTGCTTAGCTAGTGAGAGATGCCCTGGGGGATGAGTTTGTGCTGATAATGGTGACCACGCGACTTTCACATCATGATGCCACTGGAGCTTCACGTCAGCTTAGTGAGGTGGACCAGACAGGGCACCGTCGTCCCGTGTCACAGAGGAGCACACCAAAGCCCAGAAAAGCAGAATGACTCACTCTGGGTCCCAGAGCCACCAGTGGAAGCACTGAGACCTGCACATAGCGCCCAGCAGCAGGAGCCTACGCCTATTTAGCAACAGTCTTGTTACTGAATATAATTACACGTGGGCCGTGTGCACGTTCCTTGCCCTGCGGCAGGCTCGTGGAAGCACGGGGAGAGCACACTCCTTTCCCTCCCACGAGGGCAGCTTGCTTAAGAAGCCAGGGTAGCCAGAAGCCCCTCAGAGCCGAACTGAACCCCTGTGTGTGCAAAATGGCGCATGAGTGTGCAGCAGGGAGGGGAGAGGAGGCGGAGGGCACTGTGGGCTGGGGTGCTGATGTCATGGAGCAGGTGCCATGGCTCTCGGCTTTTCAGGGAGGGTGGTATTCAGAGAGAAATAACATAATAAAGGCCCAGAAGTGACAAGAAGGCTTCAGCAGAGGGCAGAGCTGGGGGAGAGGTGGAGGAGGGCTGTACCTGACCACCTAGTGGACTCTCCTCCACTTCTGTCCTCCTCCAAGGAGCCCAAGATCTCTGCCGGGTGCTGCCAGTCTCTGAACTTCATTTATGAAACATAATGGCACCCTTCCCCAGCCCCCAAGCAAAGCAAGTTTAAAAAAAGCAGCAGCAGCTTTCACAAGGCCTTGAAAGCTGCAGCCTACAGAGGAGGCTGAGGACCAGAGAGCACAGAACTTTCCCAAACACAGTCCTAACACAGTCCCAACTCCTGACACCTGTTCAGGGCAAGCCCCACAGTTGGACACTGCGGCCCCCTGAGATGCCCACAGGGACCCCGCGATGCCTGCGGTTCTCCTTGGCTCTGCCTCTGGCCAGCTGCCCACCTGGCTTAGGCCCAGTGCTGTGAGTCAGCCATCAATCCCAAGGTTGCCAGGACAACCGGGATGGGGGAGGGAGCGTGGGGGCGGGCAGGGGCAGTGCGGGTGGGGGGGGGCTGTCTTCTGCATCTGGCACCTGCACACAGCTGAGGCTGAGCTGAGAGGCGGATGCTTGCTCCCCTCCTCCCTTCCCGCACCTCTCCCCTTCATGCACTCATCCTGGGACTCTTTCCCCTGCTGGAGGCTTTGGCAAATATTTAAAAGGGCAGTTGAGGGGGGCCAAGGAGGGTGGTGGGAACAAACATCTCCTTCCCTCTCTCCTTCCCTGAGCTTCTCAGGGGCTCTCAGCTCAGAGGCCAGGCTGTTGTACAACCTTGACGCTGACAACCACCAGCTGGAGAGGGTCCTGGTGGGACAGGGGAGCCTGCCAGGGCTGGCTCATGATCAAAGGGCTGGGACAAGGTGTGAGGAGCCTGGGGCTGAGGACAGGAACTGGGGTGATATTTTAGAGTTAAAGCACAGCTGGCTCTCTGTATCCATGGGTTTTACATCTGCCAATTCAGCCGAAAGTCCATGGAAAGTATTTGGGGGAAAAAAATTGCGTCTGTACTGAACATGTAGGGACTTTTTTTCCTTGTCATGATTCCCTACACAATACAGTATAATGACTATTTACATACAATTTACATTGTATTTGGTATTATAAGTCATCTAGAGATGACTGAAAGTATAGACATGGATGTGTGCAGGTTGTATGTAAATACTCTCTACTCATTTACGTAGAGGACTTGAGCATCTTCCGTAGATTTGGTATCCACTGGGGAAGGGGTGGCTGGAACCAGTCCCTGGGGAGAAAGAGGCATGGCCGCCTGCAAGGACAGGGGAATCCAGCTGAGAGAGGGCACTGCGAGCAGCTCTGGCTCACACACTCACGAATGGTTAAAGGGGATGGGACTTTATAGACTACCTGGTCCAGCAAGTGACAGGGAGCCCCAGAGAAAGGGCACAAGCAGCCCACATATTTGATTTAGAACACAGAGACCTGGCTTTGGAGGAAGAGGTGAGGCAGAGAGAGGCGAGGGACAGTTAGGATCAGAGCGTGTAAGAAGAAGTGCAGAAGGGAAGTGTGACAGGAGGGCAGGGAGTGAATAAGCTGATCTCAAGACAGGAAGAATGGGGCCACCCCCAGCCTTGTGCCGGGCTGCCCGGGTCCAAGAAAGCGGTGTCGGGAATCTGCCATCAGAAGGCTTCAGTGTACAGGCAGCCCAGAGCAAAGACTGAAACACCGTCCACCTCTGAGTAAGAGTTTCCCCCTAGCAGGGACAGAGTTTCCAGAATCAGGAAAGGAAGGACAGAGACGGGCTCTGAGGTTAGGTTTGGGGTGTGTGGGGAGAGGTGAGGCAAGGTAAAGAGAAATCTGACCCTCTCAGAGAAATGGACATTTATGGAGCCCCCTTCCAAGTGATGTCAACGTCCCTGCTGCCTTCAGCTGAGCCCTCTTTGGGCTACAGCCACTGCTCCTCTGCCTTCTTCCTGGAGCTCATCCCTAAGCTTGGGGACATTCTGTTGGGAATGGGACAGTCAGACCCTTGGCTGCCTGAGAGGTCTGGCCTGGCGGAAGAAGAAGAAAGCCACAGGGCCGCAGGGCAGGTGCCAGCAAGAAAGGCAGGCATGCCAGGAAGACAGTCACAGTGAGGGCGGTAGGTGGCCTAAGGGCAAGTTTGCTCAGCTCACCCAGGTTTGCTCTTGCTGGGACCAAGAGGACTCATGTGCCAAGGCCAAGGACCCTTGGGGGCTCTTGGAGCTGGCTTATCAGGGCCTTGCTCTGGAGGGCCAGGAACAAACAGGCTTCAAAGCCAAGGGCTTAGCGGGCTCATGGGAGACCTGGTCCTTCACCTCTGTCCCCTCCCTGTGGACACATATAAGACCCTATCACTCCTGGAGGGTGAGGAGGGGAGTGAGCCTACAGCAAGATGGACGTGGGTAGCAAAGAGGTCTTGATGGAGAGCCCACCGGTGAGTGTGCTGGTGTGTGTGAGCATGAGTGTGAGTGTGAGTGAGTGTGCTGGGGCTTGCCTCCTCCATCCTCCCTGGACCTGTTTCCTCCTCCAAATCCATTCACTCAACTAGCCTAGGATTGTGCTAAGTTAG